AAAATAAATGTATAATTCATAGTATTTACCTCTGACACATTCTTTTGATATCTCAGATGAGAATCAGAACAGTTCCAGTATCTCGAAGTGCCTTTGAAAATGGCACTGTTCTGTGTTCCGCAGACTAAAAGTTTGTTTTCACTGTTGAAACAGTTTCTAATTTATGTTTTAAAAAAGCTTCAGGAGTCAGGCAGTTCCCTGCTCTCTCAGCGGCTGTTGAGTTAAAACAAGGTAGAGTGATTTGTCTTTCCTCAATTTAGCTGTAATGAGTATTAAGTGGTTTATCTACGTGGAAGAAAGTTACTGAGCTAGATTACATCCAGGTTGAATTATACCCCGTTCCAGATGGAGTATGTATTTAAGACAGTAAATCTCGAGGAGGGCGGACAATAACAGTAATGTTCATTTTTAGGCTGGAATGTGACTCGTCTACCTCTCTTGGAGAAAATGTGCAGTGCTACATTCAGTTAGATTTTCAAAGGCTTTGTGAAGAAATGGGACTTCAGGTTTTACAGCTCTGAACAATTTAGCTTGAAGCATCTGCACTGTACAAGTGATCGATGGCTCATGGTGATTATGGTTCTCATACGTTTTGCTGTTGCGGGTAGCAGCCTGCAGGGCATGATGCCGTCTCTCTCCCCAGCCTTCTCTTCTGTACCAAGTGCGATGGTTGGCTGTGACAGGGAGGGTGCTGGGTGTGAGGTGAGATGTTCTGGTGGGAAATTTCTTCCTTCTGGTACCATCTGGTCTACTAAGGCACCCATTACTCATGCAGCTGTGCTTGTGGCCCTGAGGAGTACCTGGAGGAGGATGTGGTGTTGTTGGCATCCCAGGTGGCACCGACTGCCAGACCATCCTCCCAAAAAGCTTATCCTTGACCACCTTGCTTAGCCTTGACCATGTGTCCTTGGCCTTGTCTGCTTCCCTGATACTGTACCTCCTGTTCACTTGCTAGAGCTAGCTGGCATGGTTGACCAGCCAGGCTAGGGACAAGGTGTCAGGTCAGTGGCAAGGCTCCAGCAGGCATGGGTGGACTCAAAGTCGGTGTCATGAGGTGGTGGCTGGGTGGGTGTGCTGTGGATATGCCCCAGCACCCAGGTCTGGGAGCTACTCCTGCCAGTGAGGAGAGTGCACTGGGGCTGGTGAAGGTGGAGCATTCCTCACAGCGTGTGGCAGGCTTTGACAAGGCAATGTGGACCATTTGTTTAATTTTAATGAAGGGGATAAGGGGGGGTCCAAGACATCAGTGATTCAGCTCTGCTGCCTCTCCTGGGTGGGTCAGCAGGGCTGTCCTTGCCCTATGGCTCTGGGGGAGGCAGGAGAGGAGGGAAGCTCTGATAAGAGGAAGGTCAGAGGCAGAAAAATGTTGGGAATGTGTTTCTTGATCTAATATGGGAGAGATGCAGCGTAGGGCTTCACTGCTCAGCCCGGCAGTGTTACTGCCTGCTGTCATGAGAGTTATGGGTTTTTTAAACCTGAGATCAAGATGCAGATGGCTCACCTGACACCTACTTCAACACAGGCAGGTCCAGAAGATGGAGGCAATTAGCCTCTGAGGGCACAGCAAGGATGGTGATGGCTCTGAGCGCTGTTTCTCAGCCTTTGCCTGAGACAGAGCATCTTCTGCTGACAAAAAACCTCATTTGCTTTCTTTCGTTTCCTCCATATATTTTATGTTGCTGTGGGGTATTGTCTCACTGAGGTGAGATATTGGACATGATTTGGGGTTGAACAGTAGTGTTTGAAGAGTTCTAGTAAATCTCTAAGCAGGCTTTCAAGACTGGTGGTAACTGTTGTGTCCTGGGGATGCAGGGGTTGCCTTCCCAAGGAATACTCCTTTTTTTTTTTTTGCAAGGGATATGAAACCAAAGTGAGGAAATTACTCTCTCTCAATTTCCTTTTCTTTGGCAGATATGCTCTATTCTTTTCATCAACCAACCAGTCAGTCCTTGTAGCATTTGGGGCCTGGACACAACAGCTTCTGTGTCACCATTCATCTACTTAACATACATTTCCTTTAGGTGTTAGCAGTGCTGGAACCCACCACAAGCACATATTGAAGAGGTTGCTCATGAAGTTCCGGTTGCCAGCCTCTACCTTGGGTAACTTCCTGCTGTGCTTGAATGCAGAGCTGCTGGAGAGGACCTGCTGCAGTTTGTCTGTTCTCCATTGGCACAGAACTGTGAGAAAAGAGCTGGTTTGCATCAGAAATAAGACCCATAAGCTTTTTAGGTTTTGGCTGCTGTGGATGTGGTGTGGTATCTCACAATATAAACACTTGGCAGTGGGAAAAGAATACAAAGGTGAGGGGGATCACTGCATGTAGTAGGCTCCCTGCCACCTGAGAAATGGGTTTGGGCTACTAACGGGCAGCAGGATTAATCAGGGCTATGGTTCTTGTGGAGTCCATGTCTGTTACTGGCATCACATTGAGATCTTTAGCATTATCTAGCATTTTTACACTTGTTCATGCAAGTGTTGCTGCCTGTGCAATTTATGCACACAGGGGCTATGCTTAATCCAGAGGCATATCTCTGATTCCCATGCAGGCATGGATGGAGCATTTCTTTGACACCACTTTGAATGCTTCCTTGAAGCTGCTTTGAATGCACCAATACTTTGAGATAAAAATCAGGATCTGTTATATCAGGATCACTGCATTCATTGTGTAGAAGCACTTGACTTTGCTGCTGCCCTGGCAGAATGCAGGTACAGGGCAGGCAGGGAAGGACACCTTATCTGACCAGATCTACTGATGGAGGCTGTTGTATGCAGCACATGAGTGGAATCTCTGATTGTCTTCAGATAGACCTAGAGACTGTTCGTGGAACTGTTTAGCCAGTGTTACTGGACTCAATTTAGGGGTAAGTTAACAAAGTGTGGTGGCCTGGGGTACAGAGGTGGTCAGACCAAGGGGTCTGTGGTCCTCCTGTCTTTGCATTTAAGATACTCTGACGCCCCTCTTGTCCTGCTGGAGGACAGGTTCATTACTAATTCAGCAAGTTGTTCAAGCTGATGCTGAATCTTGCTGACTTAAGCACCAGTCTTCAGCAGCATTATACTCACCACCTTTTGATATGCATGACTAAATTCATGATGCTGTTGGCACGGGGCTTTGGCAGGAAGGTGCTATGGATTGATCCTATAACCTATATAAGCTACTTGATTTGCCCTCTTCTCCTCTAACCTGGAGACCCCTCCCATATTGGGGTTGTGGTTGGATGGTTTGTGGTCCCTGCAGCTGAAGGTGATACTGCTGTGAACCTTACCACCACTTGAACTGTTCACTGAACTTACATAGCTTCCTACAGTGTCATCTTAACCTTTTCCATGAGGACAGTTTGGATTTCCTCAGTTTGGACAAAGAACAATCCAAACAAAAAAGGGAGCATGTTTCCTCTGAGAGTGTTTGTGCTTTAGATGGGCACTTGACTTGATCCATCCTGCTGTTCCTTTATGTGCGGTTTGGCACTTGTTTATGGCAGCACTTTTTCAAGCTTATTCCAATTATTCTCTTGAATGGTCAAAGCACTCTCAGTGATTAACTGTAGCCTGCATGCTAGCTCTTCTGCTAAACTGCCCCCAGAGTGGCCAAGAAACAGCATCCAGGCTTGTGCTGGAGTGCATTCGGCAGCTACTGGCAAAGGCAAAGACAAGCTGTTTAGCACAGAGCCAGCCTAAACTTCATATGTGTGCATGGGTGCATGTTTGCGTGTTGGGAGATGCAGGCAGTGGTGCCTGCTAACCACGGTGGGGCTGATCCTGAAAGGTGCTGGCAGTTGGCAACATGCACCAGCCAGCATCAGCACTGTTTGCCTTAATACCCTCTTGCTCATTGACTCATGCTTGGTGAGAAGCTCTGTGGTTGAATAGTGGCTTTTGCAGTCATACCATGATAAATGAAATGAGGTAAAATAAAATTCTATTTTGCAGAGCTCCTTTAGCAGTGCAGAAAATGTTTGGGGTGTTTTGTACGCTTAAGCTGCAAAACCTTTTTCCTACTGCTGTAACAACTCTCAGCCTCTGCTACCAAAGTGGAGGAGAAATTCTGCAAACATCTGCATGTCTGCAAGGAACTACTGGAAACCACTAAGCTGTGATGAAAATGGAGAAAAGGTTTTCCCAGGTTCCTTTATTTTCTTCCCTTGGAATTTGCAAGTGTGTTGCTTCAAAGCACGTTTCAAACCAAGAATCAGGTATTTTGGAGAGCAGTAAGCCACCCACATAGCTCTCCAGTAAGTTACCTTATACACCGGGTCACCCTATCTGGTGTTGCTGTCTTATTGCAATGGAAAACTGGCTATTACATTCTTTAAGGTTGAATATTGCTGTTTTATGTGAGGGTTTTCTGTATTTTATTCTCCTGGAATTTTTCTGTTTAGTATTATGTGCTTCCACTAGAAAAAAACAGATGTCCTGGGCAGGTACTTGCTGTGTGTGTGCTGCAGCTCTATGGCCTTGCTGTACACAGTTCTTCCCCTTTTACAGCACTGGAAATTGTGGCAGTGATCTCCTTGTAGGGCTGTGCCAGCAGCTTGTTTTTGTGAGGTTTTCAGTTGTTTTTGAAAGAAAAAAGGCACGTGTGAGGAGGGGTTGTTTGTTCAAGCCTAAAAGGAAACATCTTGTTCTGTTGTTGAATATTTTGATACATTTTACGTGAACGAGAATGGCTTTCAAAGCCATTTTATGGCTTTTTCAAAGCCAAATTACTTGTATAAAATCATGAAAGACAGTGTTTCAACTTCACTTTCCTTCTCTGCTCGCTCACCCCCAAACCAGGTGGCACTGACATGAATTCACAGAAGATGTTGCTGTTGCTGAATCTCAGCTTTTAGTGAAAATCACTTTTTGCCGAATCCCTTACTCACCCTATGCACTTGGGGTTTTATTCTTTTGGTCTTTCTCAACAGTGCCTTCCATGGAGTGGGAAAACGTGTCACTGTCAGTACTTGCCTGTAGCACAAGAAGCTTAAATGTGTTTCTTTTCTCTTTTCCTAAAGATTCGTCTTCCAACTATATCAGGCAACTTGAAACAAAAGTGAAACTGCTGGAGGATGACAACAAGCTGCTTTCCCAGGTAGGTTTTTTATTTCCTTGTAGATATTAGTGTGGCTTAGTTTTCCATATAGTTGTGTCCGACTGCCCACTTGAACGCACAAAGGCGTAATGGACAAAGAGCATAATGGACTTTTCATATCAAGCACCCACTGATGAAATTTGGTTTCCTTTTGTTAAAAAAAGAAAAAAGAAAAAAGTAAAGCCTCTGTTAGTGTCTGTGTCTGTTTCAGAGATGCCTCCCTGCAGAACACCTTGATCTACTGCTGCTCTAGGGGATGCTGCGAGGGTCTGGTGCTGCCTATGCCCTTGCTGTAGGATTTTGTCTTTGCTTGCCCATTTACATTGACTTTTATCTTGTTAAAAGAGGAGGCTGTAGTCAAAAGACAGCCTTGGGAATAGTTTTGTGCGGTGCTGGCTCCCAGCTTTTATTTGAGATCTTGCTTAAATCTGAACAGACCTCTCTAAACTGGCACTTCTTGCTTGCATCTGCCCTTCAAAGTCTACTCCACGTGCCAATGGGCTTTTGATCACTCCTGGTGCTTACCTGTCTGTATACAGCAATGTCAAGCAGCGGGAAGAAAACAGCCATTCTGTCTGGTATGTCCCCTGGATGCTCCCACAAAACACTGGTTACTGTAGATAGGGGCGGCTTTGCTGAATTCAGCTGTCTGTTTAAACTGATGGAAAAGTTAGCCTTTTTCTCTTGTTCTTTGCATCCTTTCAGTGTTGTATGTTCTACCTCCCTCACATTTTAAAGGTTTTTTCTATACTTTGCTTCTTACTTCAAGCACTGAGTTTCATGGTCATTTTGTTCTAGATTCTTCTCAATTATGAAGACTGCAATAAAAAAAATACCTTCAATTATTTAAAATTAAAAATACGTTTTTGCCAGTTTATGTTGTGCTGATCTTTGCATTTCACCAAGTCTGAAGACAGACTGCTCCAGGATCCATGCTTCTAAAACATCTCTGTTAAAGGATGAAGGATCTATGCTTACTGAAATGTCAGTAAAATAATTTTGTCAAACCTTGATTTTACTGAAATACACATTTTAAACTGACTGTGAGCTTTTTTTGACAATTACCCCAAGTTTCCAGTGTGCTCATTGGCATTGCTAGCTGTGAAACAAAATTGACAAGGCACCAAAGCGTTAAAGCCCCCAAAGGGTGCTCAACTCAACAGCTACCGAGTGGCTTCATGTATTAATCAATTGCTAATTCAATTTTAACTCCCTTTGTCTTTTTCCCAACCGTGAGAAAGCTGGTGGCAGTTGAAACCCCAAGACCATTTAATTGGAGCTATTGGTAAGCAGACGGGCTGTGTGTAGGTAGCTGGAATGCATATGGATTCAGGAATGGGCTTTATATGCCCTTGGCCCATCTTTGTCCTGCCACAGCTGAGCATCAGATCTGCCTTATAAGGTCAAAAAAAAAGTGGCTGGTAATTAATGTATGGTAAATTAATAGTGGCTGAATAGCTGCCTGGACTTACTGCATTGAGAAGATGAAGCCCAGTCAGTCTGGGGGTGCGTGGTGCTCAACCAGTCCCACGAGCCCTTCCCCTTCTTGCTGTCCTGGGTGGGAAGGCTGTGCCTTTTCCTCCATGTATCTCTCCTCAGGTGTCCTCACCTTTCAGGCTGTGTCACTATGGATGTTTGAATCCAGGAGGGAAATGATTTTAAAACAGCTCTGTGCTATGGTGAAAGCCAGTTGCACCCCCCCCCAGCAGCAGCAGGCACCAATGCCAGCCTGCCTGTGACCTTCTGTGCAGCCCCTGTGCGATGTCTTAATGGCCCTCCAAAAAGACCAGGATCTGATCTATTTTAGATCACACTCAGGAATACTTCTTTTTATCATGTAAAGCTTTCCTTAGGGCAGCAGGAGAAGAGTTGAAGCTACCACAGTCTGGGTAAACTCCTTGGGAATACTGAGCTCCAAATCTGTCATGCTGCAAACCTAGATTCGTTTTTTTTCTCTTTCAGTGAGAAAGATGAGGAGAATCTGTATAGACACAAACTCACATGCATACATACATATTGTTCCCAGCACTTTCTTGGAAAAGTATAATCCACTTACTGCATTCTTACTTGCTCCATCTGATTGGAAAGTGTTTAGCTGTTACTATGCGGATCTTGGGATAAGACTCTAGTCAAAAAGGATCCTGGCAAACTTTCTTCTGTTTTTAAAGCTGCCTGGTGATCCTGGCTGTTTGAACTCTGCAGTGCCAAACTGGCTTGTCAACACCAAAGTCACATTTTAACTCGGCTTGGCTTTCTCCCTGGGAGTATTGACATTGCAATAATGTTTGCAGTCTGGTGTCAAGAAGTTCTATCACCAGCATGCTGAGGAGTGATGAAACCTGACGTCCTAAGTAACAAACAGTGCCTGTGCATTAAAGGATTAACAAATCAGTAGTGGTTATGGAAGTCTTTCTGGCTTCTCTCCGAGTGCTAAACATAGAGCTGAAATGGTGCTTCATCCAGAGACACCCGAGAAGGCGGGTGCTGCGAATGATATTGGAAGTTTACAGGAGGATTTATATTACAGTGTCTAGTGACACACTGCCTCTGCTAGGTGGTGCATCCTGAGTAAGATTTCTTGTGTTATCTTCTTCGGCATCTGGGGCTGAAAGCTGTGCTGAGAGGTACTGCCTTTGTACCACCTTCAGGAATGGGATTAAGTTGGTGTAGGGGTCCCCAGCCTGCACTTTTTCTCCTGCTTCCTGACATCTCATTTCTCTTCCTTCAGAGGAAGAGCTCTCCAGCCCATGCTGAGGCAGCTGCTCTGCCCTGTATGTGTTTCTTACTGTTTCCTGCTGTAGCGCAGGCATGCTGGGATTCACAGTTCTGTTTTTCTGGTGACTCATTTGAACAGATCAGTGGTGAAAGCTTTTCCTTCCCTTGGGAGATCAAGAGGTAACATCTCATGAGCCACACTTTGTAGTAGGAGGAAATTCAGTGGAGAAGTGGATGTTACTTACGATATCCGTGTATGGATTTATCTGGTTCTTTTGGTTTCTAGGTAAGGAGATCTGTATTTGCAGCTGGGAAGTGAGCTTGTGACATTGTTAACCCATCAGTAATCATTGCTCTTCCCACTCTCCTTTCTCTGAGCAGAAATGACCTCAGCTGTATGCCTTTCTTTGACTCAGGTTTACACTGTAATGTTTTGCTAGCATTGTATTAACTTTGCTTATTAAAATTTGTTAAATTTGTTAATTTAAATTTGTTAAATTTGTTAACATTGCTGGCTTTGTTAACTAGGAAGTCGTGCTCTTGGATAGCATTGCTGTGCTGGCAAAATCCCTGCCAGCAACTGTAACAATGTACAGCTTTTGTTGCCCTGGTCTGTATGGGCTAGGGAGATGCAGTAGTGCATGCCGCTACCAGAAAGGGCCCCTTAATGCCTGCTCACCAATGGTGGTAGGTCCCTGTGATGTAAGCACAATGGCAAAGCCCCTGCAGTTGAGATGGGGACGTCAGTGTCCTAGGGTAGATAGTGTCAGCCTTTCTCACAATTGTAGCTGGTTTCTGGAAGTTTTAGTTGAGGTGTATTGAAGATGAATGTAAGCTCTGAGGCATGTTGGGTGTTGGCTTTGGAGAGCTTCACAGGCATCACTTTTGTAGTCTCACATTCTCTAGGGAGGAAGTGCACTAAGTTCTGCAGTGTGCATGCAATTAATTTATGCAAGATCATGTGGGAGAAGTCCTGCTTTTCCACTGTGTCATTGTGGGAAGTGCCAGAAGAGCTGGTGTTAATGTCTCTTTTGCAGTGTCTGGTTTACATGAGAGTGCCTTCTATATTGCTAAGATACAACCCCTGAGATGGGAGACCATATTTGCTTTCCATTCCTCTGAGCTGAAAGTGTCTAAGCAGAAAATAGACCCCTTAAGCCACCTCACACTGCCCGTAAGCTAAAAATGAATTTGTAATTACACCCTTTCCCCTCAAGATTAGACAAATCTGGTTTTGTGAGCTTTGGGAGCTCCAAAAGTCAGTTCTGGTTAGCTTTAGGAACTAATGTATACATTTTAGAGATAGTAACAGTAACAAACTTCTGACCATTCTTTTACATTATTTTGTTGTTTCAGCCATTCCGTACAATGGCAAGGATTGGGCACTTTTAACTAAAACTGAAGTTTACAGGCTTTGTGGACTCATCACCGTGTTCTTCCTCCTCACAACTAAGTCCTATGCACCATGGGTTGGCTGTTGGAACTTCTTTTGGTTTATAGTCTCTATTGAGCTGTGTCTGCCTTTTTCCTTAAGAACAGGGATGCCAGAGGCATTTTCCTACTCAAAGGTTCCCAGGGCAGGTTGCACAACTTTGTTTCAAAAAGCCCAGCTTTGAACAGAGCGGATGTATTGGGGTGGTGAGACTCAGCATAACTGGATGTTTGACAGTAAGGTCCTGGTACATCTTTCAGCAAAAATTTCAGGTCCCCTGGTCCAGATCAGAAATACAAAAAGTTCTTCCCTGGGGAGTGGACAACCCTTGGAATTTATGAGGAACATGAGATTATTTAATTAAAATCACCAAATAGGCTTCATTATTACCAGCACTTCACAGCATTTCAGCATCTCCCTGCTAGCTGATGGGGATTTACAGTATCCTTGGAAGATCTTCAGAGCATCCCTGGAAGGTTTTGAAAACTGCAGTTAGTCTTATTTTTAAGACACTGCATGCTTAGCCTGAATTAAAAGAAGGCTGCAGCTGTACAGATAGTAAAATAACAGTAAATAAGTCCTGTAAACATTGCTATTAAAACAGAGCTGAGGGTTTTGAACTGGCAACTTCCATGGCAAGGGCTTCTACAGGCTGCCTCAATTCTTCTTAGGCAAATGTGAATTTGGCGCAAACATGCACTCAGCAGGCAGTTTCTAGCATATTGTTCTGAAAACGAGGGGGAAAAACTGAACCCCAGGATTGAAGAGAACCTGAGACTCGTTAGTACTGCAAAGAACAAAGATGTAAATGCATTCAGCTGAGAGCTTGATCTCTTTCTGAAGAGCAGAGGACAGAGGAGAGAGGAATTGCCCACAGTGTGCTGGCTGGCTCCAGGAGAGTCAGAGTGCAATTTTCTCCCTTGTTTTATTGTCACTTTTGTGCCAACTCTGCCATTAGCAGTTCCTGCTTGTGGAGCTGCCTTTCTGCTCTCAGAGCTGCTACTGGGTCTTAACATTTGGGCCTCTCTTTGAATTGCGGCTACAGGGTTTTGTTGCGAGGCCATTGCTTGTGCCAGGAGTGTTGCACATTCCACACAAAGTGGAACGAAATTACAAACCTGTCTTACTTCCCCAAAGTCTACCTACTGTTTGTGTGTGAGGAAGATAAGTATAATTGCTTTAATTTAAGGTCTCACAAGGGAAATGTGATTTTTTTTTTGTAATAGGAAGCAACTCAGACAGACATGAAAGCTTTCCAGTGTGTTTGGTCTCCATTTAAATTCAGAGTACTGAAGAGGACATGCCCTAGGTTACCTTATTACCAGTTTTATGTGCTTTTTAAATGTTTTGCTGCATATTGATTTTAACTAATCAAAATGGAGATGCATATTTGGGGACCAAGCCAAATATTTCTTTAAAGTCAATGGTAACTTTTTCTGTAGGACTCCATTCATTTTGAGTATATGTCATGCAGAACCAGATTTTCATGGGGCCTTTCATGAGACCACTCTCCAAACTTTGTTTTAGGCCGGTAATTGCATTGCATTTTGCTTACATGTGTAAATGCAATAGATGTTAACAGAATCCGCCTTCCACAGCTTCCTTAGCTGTGACAGTACTATGTCCCAAGTGTGTTTCATTTCACCTCCTTCTTATATGGTTTAAAATGACAAGACTGATCTGACCAATTTGCTATCAAATAAACAGACCTGAGATTTTAGTATACAATATGAATTTATTGAATAAAATGTGGTTGTTTCCCCCCCCCCCCCCCCCCCCCCCAGAATGAGATATACAGTTTTATAAGAGCAGTTCAAAGAGGTTTCAGACTTGCATCCAAAATGCTTTCAAGCCCTTTAAGATAGTAGAACTCCTTCTCTTGACTTTGGACATCAGAATCTTGGGCTGCTACCTACCAAAATAAATACTGTCTTGGTATTCACCTCCTATCAGTGGTAGCAGCCTGTCTAAAAAGTAGGATCAATGACAGAAATGAGCTTCTGCAACTTGTTATAAAAGCTGGGTGGTGTAGTCTGTGTTCTGGGGGTTGTCACCTGTGGAACCAAGGGATTTTGCGAGAACATCACCCAGAGTTCCCGAACAACCTAGGAAATGCAATTCAAGGAGTTCTGAATCCAGAAGTCAAATTACAGACAGAAACATACACTATTGATGGAATCCTAGGAATTTGAGATTATCATATCATTTCTTTCAGTTAAGTCAAAATTTTCAAAGGGCTGAAGCTGGATTTCTGTGAAAGAGTGTGAGTGTGAGCGTGAGCGATGTGCACACACAAAGCTCTGCCATGCCCCATTTGTTTCTGTCTTGGGTAAGAAAGAACATTGGGTATAATGAGGCTCAGTTTAACCTCCAGCTGTGAAATGCAGGATTAGTCATATCCTATGCTTAACCAGCTTTGTAATAACTTCACTAGATTCCACTTCTTTCTGTATGTGAAGACAGGGTCAGGGAAAAACCTCTTAACTGCTAGGAAGAAGCAGCGTTTTCTGTGTTTGTAACGTGTAGAGAGGTTCAAAGTACACACATTCTCCGTGATCAATCCATCTGAGAAGGACTGAAAAATGTTATAAAAGGAAATTAAGCAATAGCTGTAGAGGCTTAAAACCAGATTTTTGCAAGAAGTTCAATGCCAAGGTCTAGATCAGCTCAAGAAAATCTTGGTGTCTGGTATGTGAAAACAACTTGGGGATGTAAGGGAAGGATATTAATCATTCATTGCTTTGGGGATAAAAAAAGAGAGGCTCCACCCAAAACTGGAAGTCTGTGACAAAATTTTCAGTTTTTGTTTTCATAGAATCATAGAATAGTTAGGGTTGGAAAGGACCTTAAGATCATCAAGTTCCAACCCCCCTGCTATGGGCAGGGACACCTCACATTAAACCATATCACCCAAGGCCTCGTCCAGCCTGGTCTTGAACACTGCCAGGGATGGAGCATTCACAAGCTCCCTGGGCAACCCATTCCAGTGCCTCACCACACTAACAGGAAAGAATTTCCTCCTTATATCCAATCTAAACTTCCCCTGTTTAAATGTTAACCCGTCACCCCTTGTTTTGCTTTTCATGAAGCCAAAAACGCAAATTAAGTGTTTGTAGGAGACTTTTAAAGAATATTCAAGCTATCTCATAAAAATTTAGACTGGCTGTAACTGATTCTTCCTGACCATTGTTGTCCTTGTTCAGTAGAGAGCTTTGAAATCTGAGTGGTCCTCCGGAAGAGGGGGACTTAGGTGTCCATCCTGCCCTGGCTGCTGCTCAAAAGAAGAGAGAGGCATACAGCAGAGCCCTTGGCCAGCTTGGTCCCAGCATTAGTTAAAACCTGCAAGGGACCTTTTCTGATTTGTGAGAATGGGAATCAGGTCTTCGCCTTCCTCATTCCCAGCTCCCTCATCTTATGGGATGTGGGAAGTGTCTTGAAGGCAGCCTCAAACATGTTGCTGTGGATGAGCTTCTGGGAGTAGATGTGGTGGTACCCATTGGCCTCGTTTCCTGGAGTGTAGTTAACAGAAGGAAATGAATGGTGACTCCAGGAGATGGTCCAGTGAGTTTATTCATATGTATCCACATCTGTATCTACTGGTCTGGTGGAACTGGGGCAGCATTCCTTAGCTTCTTCATTGACATCCCTAATGAAGAGGTTTATTTTGGTGCTAATGAGCCATGGATCGGCTCCATTAGTCTGGGACTCTAAAACTCATTACACACAAACCACAGACCATATCAATGGTTATAGCTTTGTTTGGTTTTGTTAACTATTGAGCTGCATTTCTGCTTGGGTTATAGGCTGTGATGCTTGAAGTTCGGCTGCACCAGCCCGTATTCTCTCTTGAGCAAAGCCTGCCAGTTGTGTGATTATAATTATGTACTGCAATTTGATTTGAGCTGATTATCTGAGTCTCCCCTGAGTTACAGGATTGATCTTTCTCTGCTGATCTTAAAACAAGAGGGAAAAAATACAGATACTCTTGAATATTACCAGTGTACTGAAGTTCCCTACCTCAGTTCTACAGAGACTAGAGAGGTTTGAAACTTGCACTGCTTTTATTGCCTGTACCCCACTGAGATGCTAATAAAAATATTTTTCCAAGAGTGATCTGCTTCTTACTGACTGTCTCCTGATATTTATTAAGCTTTTTCTGCTATTAGCTGCCCTGACAATAGAGAATTTCAGTTGTCACCATTGCGACCAGGTGAAATGTGCTCCTTCAGCTCGTATGAATGCAGCTCATGATATGAGGAGAAAGAGCATAGGCAGAAGTGGGGATGCTTGTTCCTGTGTTACGTTTGTGAATAGCTGGTATACAGCTATGGCACAACATCCAGAATGCATCCTTACAGCTCCCCGTGCTGCTGTGCAAGGGCTGTGCACCTCATTCTCAGGGTTGTGCCATTTCCAATTCCACATGAACAACTGAAAATGGCTTTACTGCTGAAGCTGGTTGAGGTTGTGCTCATGACCTCTGGCTGAATAGTGGAGAGGAAACTGGGACAATAGGTGTCTTGGCAGACCATCGTCCTCTAAAGCCTTTGTCACCGGTCTAAGGAATGATCCTTGAATGCGCTGGGAGTGCAGAGGAATTTAATCTCTCCTGTTACAGAAAGCTCATATTATTACATGACATGGAGGATGTTAAATAGTTTTAATCTCATCCCTTAATTTTTTTCTTATTTGCAGAGTTCTTTCAAAATCAAAGACATTGATTTTTTTTTATTGCATTCTCATGTGTGTAATTTCCAGCTTGCCTGATAAATGCTGTTGAAGTTAATGGGACTCTTCACATATACTCAAAGTCAGATACGTGCTTTGCCGAGCTTATTTTTGCTTTAATATGTCTTGTAGTGATAACTGCAATTACTGAACCTTAATTCAATTATTTACTAGCTTCACACAGTGAAATTGCCCATCCCTCAACTTCCTGGTGCATGAGACCCTAAAACATGGATTAATGAGATAAGGAGGAGATCTCTGTGCAAGGTCATGTGGTGTAGGATGTTCACTGGGCACAAGACTTCCTGAAAGAGTCACTTGTGGGTGGTGCTGTGGTCAGAAGAAAACAGGGCCATTGCCTGGGTGCCCATGTGAGACATGTGCAAGGCAGGTGCTTTGCAGCATCTTCTTCACAGTATCTCAGATGTGTTTCTGCTTTGCTTTACCTGGGCAAAATATCACTGCTCTGCTGGGATTACTAAGGGTATCTCGGGTCAGGTTGTTCTTGCAGAATCGTGTATTCTGATAGTGCCATTGAGCTCTGCAGGTATGGTAAAATATCTGTAGTTGTGAAGAACAGTAAGTTGATCATGCTTTAGCAACTGTTTGTGGGGTCACAATGTCCTAAATGAGGATAGTAAGATGTTAATGTTTCTGTAATTAATGATGGGTTCTGCAGGACTTCATTCATTAATACCGGAAAAGGGGTTGAAGTTCAAAGGACAGTATTATCTTGTCAAGTGCTGCATGTAAGACCAGCTTATTTTAGTCATTCTGTGGTAAAGATAGAGTTATTTCTAAGATTATAAAAGAACTTTTTTTTTCTGTGAAGTTTCTAAATGTATAATGTTCTTCTGTTCCCTTCTAGCTGGCTGACTACAACAGCTTGCCACGAAATTTCAGTAAGGTAGAGAGCTAATACATCCACAAACAGCTTCTTGGATCTGGGGCTGCCTTTTAGTATTGCTGCTGGTTGGTCGGGGCTCTAATTGCTTGTACTTTCACATGCTAATGTTGGTGATTTCCATTTTTTTAATAATCTGAATCATGTTAAATATGCCTCTAATTATTTTTTATTTCCCTCCTGTACTTGTGCAAAAGGCAGTGGTTAGTAATAGCTGAGTTTTGACCAACTTCAAATCAAAGCCATTTACCTACCTGAAGAAAGGTTGGTACTTTTAGCTAAATTGCTGCAGGAAATAACAGTGAAAGATTTTGAGCTAAACCTTCCATTTAATTACCCAGTTGCACAAAAATGGGTTGTTGAGTGTCAAAATTGAGGCAGTTTCAATTACTGGAACAATTATGGTTTAGAAAATTGTTGCTGGTAGGTTTAAGAATTTGCATTGCAGTGACAGGCAAGTAATTCAGGTAATGGGCAGTAAAAGAGTTCATGAAGATGAAAGCAACCTGACACAGTGGCCTGAAATAAAATCTTTCTCCTTTTTCTCTTCACAAGTACATATAATTACAAGCCAAGGTCTCAGCAGAGTTTTCCAGCTAACATCCAAGATTTAGAATATGAAGTAAGAATGACATTTCTTTTCACATAGACTTTTTTGTAAAGCCCAAATCCATGGGGATTTACATGGTCATGTTCACCCTGATATTTAAATGGCAACTAAAGGAAATCTTCTGCTTTGTAAAAGGGTGGAACAGCCACTAAAAAATGGAAATTGCTTGTCACTCTTGAGGGCTGGGTGATGGTGTGGCATCTTTGTTTGGCCAAAGAAAATCTTCTAGGCTGGTGTCAATAAGGGTGTCTTCTATTGCCAGTATTGAGTACTTCACAGTATGCTTTTCCATCTAGTTGCACTTCATGTTAAGATACGTAATTTCTTCTAACGTTATGTTGAATAGCAGGTATAATATTAATACATTTAAGTGGTACAGTGTGTAATCTGTTGTCTCTTGAGTTTAGAGCCACTGGGTCTGCGCTGTAGGAAAACCAAGCTGATTATTATAAAGCCTCTAAAATGACAGTCCCTCTGGGAAGTCTGCTGTCAGTGACTCATGTATGCTTGATTCTCCTTTTCATTCTGGACACATTTTTCCATTCCTTTATAAAGGGACTCCCCAGAGGTAAACAGAAGGGGGATTTCTAGGACTCCTGGCCTTCAAATTGGTGTTTGGCTTTGGTTTTGTTGTTTTTTTTTTTTTTTTAAATGGCCTGTGAACCCGGAGACAAAGCTTTCACAATGCAGGAAGTTACAGAGAGGTGAAGAGAGCATCATCTCAGGGACTCAGGCATGGTCCTCAGGTGTCACCAGCGCCATTCCTGCTGCATCCTGCCATGTAGCAGAAGGATGTAGGTCTCTAGCAGCTCTTCATCACATCTGCCAAGCCTCCATGGGTACCTTGGGCACACTTAGGCAGGGTATGCCCAAGTGTAGACACCTGAATTACTCCAGGTGACCCTGCAGCCCTTGGGGAGAAGGGAAGCTGTGACCATTGTAAAGGCTTTAATATTTTGCATGGCACAGGGTCAAACCCATCATTTATGATTAATTTTTTTAAAGCTCTGTTTTGCCTTCAGCTGTTACAACTTACGTGAAAGGAGAAAATAGTGTTTTCAATTAAAGGCTACTTATGTAACAACCCTGTTTTGAATGCTAATTCGTGAATTGCTTGTGTTACTTTTTTAATTTTCCTTGGTCACTTCAGTGCATAATTCAAATTGAAGTAGTTCTGGGTTGTTTACTCATCTCTTTCATGAATGCCAAGAAAATTTCTACCTTTCTGTTCTTAATTTCTGTTAAGACTGATCCATTTTGTTACATCAAAGTATTTCAGAAATAAATTCATGTCTTTTTTCTCCCTTCCAGCAGAAGTAACACCAAAGCGTAACAGAAAAGATAATTTGTCTAACTTGTCTGTAAGTTTTCAACACTTTATCTTCACAGTTGGTTCAACATGGACACAGCACTGGTCTGACTTTAGTGGACAGAAACGGATAGGAAAATAAATGTTTCTTCATAGTGCTTTGACCTTAAAGTACCACAAACTATCTATCTTCTTGTGTTATTTGTGTTACTTTCAAATTGAATCACTCAGCACATCAGGTCAAAAAGTCAGAGGCCACCATTTCTTCTCCTTGGTATCAGGATAGAAAACTTTGATAGGAAGAAGTGTTTGCTGATTTTTTAAAAGTGTAGTTTTTGGCTTTGGTAAGCACCAAGACTTTAATTTCTATCTCAGGTATTTAAAATGGTACATTATTTTTTATGGAAAATACTTAACCACTTTCCATCCATGTTAATCACATTGCTTCTGTTTTCTAGACAGAAAAAAAGTTGGGTTTACAATCCATTTTTACTAAAAACCTGATTTGTTGGTCCTGTTCTTTCCTCACTGATAGGAATAAGCAAAACTCCCCCCCTGCCAGGAGGGGCATATCTAGGTCCATTTCTTTAATAACAGGGCTGACAAGGATCTTAGGTTTTGGTCAAAGAACAGCATCTTCCAGGGTCACTTGAAGTTCTGTCTAGTTGAAAAATAAAGCAAAAAATGTCATGTTGGTACTTCCAGATAATGAGGAGCTATTGTGTCTGAGTGACCGCTGTGGAACTGTCAGCATTGGTAGTGTATAGCACAGGTTCATTCTGAAGGTGAAGCCTTGAGTCCTCAGCTTTGTTCCCATTCTCATTGGCTGGTAAAGGGAGGTGACACTGTGGCAAGTGATGCTGTGTTAGACCCTAGGGAAGGTCTTGCACTTTGGTACCATGGTGAAAGTTAGGAGATGCTTTCTTCTTCTTGTTTCCTTTCCTTTTTTTTTTTTTTTTTTGTCTTTTTTTTTTTTGTTTGTTTGTTTGGTTTGGTTTGTTTACTATTTGGGTGAAACTAGTGTTTCATACAAATTCCATGTAAAAGAGCAAGAGCTACTCTGGAGTAGTCAATGGCCAGTTGTTGGCATTTGCTGAGAACAAGGGAATTTCAGGTTATGCAAGTTGTAAATTTGATCCGGTTAAGTAAAGACTGACTGTGAGTCTCCTTAGCTCTCAATTTGTATCCTTTCCTGTCACTCCCACTCTCTCTGCTTCTCATCTCAGGAGGCATTACCAGTAAAACTTCAGTCGAAACAGCACTGTCCTGTGGAGTTTTAGTTCAGATGAAAATGGTTTTGCTCATAAATTCCTTGAAACTCCAGGAATATGAAGTGATTTTACCTGAAGAGTAATTTATTACAGACATGTTGCCTACTAATTGAGATAATCTCCAACAGTGATGATGAATGGAGATGATCAGGGATTCTGTACTTCTAAAATGCCATTCTGACAAGAAAGTCAATTTGCGATCTACTAACATCTCAGTAATGAAAATTGGGTAAGGTAGTAAGAGATTCCATTTTGTGAATGAATCGACAATGCAAATAACAGGATTTTTAATTTAGGTTTAAGTGGAGTAATGGCTACTCATTCTGATACATCATTAGTCATACAGCCTTTTAATGAGGGATTCGCTTTCTTTTCCTGGTTAGCTCTAACACTGATAGCAAAGCCCAGTGAATGTACAAATGTTTAGGGAGGTCTGATGAATACATGTCACTGCACAATTTTAATTTAAAATAGGAAGAAAAAGCATTATGGTGAAAAAATACACATTTGCTTTTTGTGCAAGGAAAATAAGTAGTGCAGAGCTATGATTAGTAGGCTGTTGTGAAAAATAACTACAGTAAGATAGATTCTGAAACAAATTCTAGAAAATATAGAGGGAAAATTGTGTTGAAGGGAATGCTAGTGAAAGGGACTGGCTTTATGGCTGACAGCAGTAGGAAAGGAGGTCCTTTGACCATCTGCAACATGGGTGTGTTACAAATAGCAGCAGATGAAGACTGTTCTTGCACTACCAAATCCACCCTGGGCTTCGAACACCTCATTCCTCTTCTGGGTAGATCTCTGTTCAGCATTTTTATTTCTTAGGTGTCCTTTTTTTTTTTCCCTTTTTTTTTTCCTTTTTTTTTGTCTTTAATTGAGAGCTTGTTTTGATATTCATTGAACAAAGTGGGAATCTTTCCATCAAATTGAATGCATTAGGTCAGATTCATAATCAGCAGTCACTGAAACAACCTAACAATAGTTTTGTCACACACAAGTGCACTGTCTTAAATGGGATTTGCGTAAGAAAAGCAATAAAACTAATCCATTATAAACACTTGTTATAACTGAGTTTTGACTGTATCTGTGTATTTACCAAAACAGTTTCAACCAATTAAAGCCAAATTGAAATTAATGCAGACTCTTGCTCCAGGCAGGAGCATAGGGCAGTTAAATTAAATCAGTTTAAACTAGCGTATGTTTAGCCACAGCAGTATGATGCTGTGTGTTGGTTAGACTTAGGTCTGATTGCCTTCCTGCCTTACTTACTGCCTTACGCTGCTGAGGCATTTTGACTTTCTGTGGGGACAAGCCATAGCATGGTGAAACACATGCTATGTCTCTTGCTACGGCAAACAAATGTCCACCAAATCTCTTTCTCATGCCTGTTTCTACGCTCCTGGTGCCTCATAGCTTGTGACATCTTGCAAGTCTCAGTGTGGTTTGCAAAAGCCTGAGTAATCCAGGGCCTCTAAACACTGTTGAGGCAGTGCATGTCCTCCTGGAACAGAGCCTTCAAGGAGATCAGTGACCTCTGCAGTCTCTAGCACAAAGCTACAACCTCATGTTTTTGGTTTGCTGTTGTATTGTGCTTTTCCCTTGCTTATGTAAGTGCCCATTCATTACAAATGTCAGGGAAGGGTGGCTGGAATGACAAACTAAAGAAGTGGGTAGCAGAATGTCAGGACCTCTCCAGGAGGTTGCTATCCCTCCGTGCACACACAATAGTGAAGAAGAGGTTGCACAAAGCAGCTGAAGTCATCTACCTGGACTAATGTAAAGCTTTCGACACTGTCCCACACGACATCCTTGTCTCTAAATTGGAGAGATACCAATTTGGTAGATGGACCACTTGGTGGATAAAGAACTGGCTGGATGGCTGCACGCAAAGAGCTGTGGTCAATGGCTCAATGTCCGTCTGGAGACCAGTAACGAGTGGTGTCCCTCAGGGATCGGTGTTGGGACCAGTCTTGTTTAACATCTTTGTTGCTGACATGGACAGTGGGATTGAGTGCGCCCTCAGCAACTTTGCCGATGACACCGAGCTGTGTGATTCGGTTGATATGCTGGAGGGAAGGAATGCCATCCAGAGGGAGCCTATAGGGATGCTTGGGAGGGACTCTTCATTAGGGACTGTAGTGACAGGATAAGGGGTAACGGGTTAAAACTTAAACAGGGGAAGTTTAGATTGGATATAAGGAGGAAATTCTTTACTCTGAGGGTGGTGAGGCACTGGAATGGGTTGCCCAGGGAGGTTGTGAATGCTCCATCCCTGGCAGTGTTCAAGGCCAGGTTGGACAAGGCCTTGGGTGATATGGTTTAGCGTAAGGTGTCCCTGCCCATGGCAGGGGGGTTGGAACTAGATGATCTTAAGGTCCTTTCGAACCCTAACTATTCTATGATTCTAAAGCAGGGCAGTAGAACTGTAACCAGCCAGGGTAAAATCCTTTCAGGATAACCTCCAAAAGCCCTACATATCACATGCCTGGGAAAATGCCAGTAAGTGAAGAGTCTTCTTGTCATCTTCCTTTGTGATCCACTAAACTTTGTTTGAAAGCATGTACCTCTCAGGCATGGTGGGGGAAACTCAGTTTTGCCGCAGTCACATGTTAGCTTCAGCAAGAGTTATCTCCTTCAGATCTTTCTCTGACTCTCTGTTGTGAAATGTGAAAGAAATATAGGCCACGATCTTCTTTGACGCCACCTTGTTAATTCAAGGGAATCCTAGACATCCGATATGCTGAAATCATTCTGTATCACTTGACTCTATGTGAGACGCAACAGTTCCCAGCAGACTGGGTGATACAGGACTAGCATCCCTTTCTCCTGATGGGTTTCTTGAAAACTGCCATTTTCTTCACAGCTTGTAAAAGGAAAGTTCATAGGGTGAGTGCACCAGAATGGTTGTGAAAGTGCTGGGTCATGCTTGATGCTTTAACCTAAAAACACAAAATTTTGAAATAAAACCAAAGCTGAACGTGTCCTAAAAAAGGCTGTGGAGCTACAAGAAAATGTTTCTGACACTGGTAGAAAATGACCTATCCAGTCTAAATGCACCAATTCTTCTCTGCTATATGGGAGCAAGAAATAGAAATTAACTTTCTCTATTTCCAGAGAGCTGTGCACGGCTGCAGTCCCCAAAGTCTTGGTTATGGTCAGGCCTTTGGGGTTACCAAGGGGGTTTTATATACAATTGAGCTGATTTATGAGATTTCCTGTTAACTTTTATTGCACCAATGGCTTTTCTTTGGTTCTTTTGAAGTAGAGAACATCATTTCTGCAGAAAATGCAAGTCAAAAGTCTTAATGGAGCATAAGAATCTGAAAGGTCATGATTTTATAGGTTTGAAATAGAGGACAGTGCACTGCTTGGTACTCTTAAAAACATGAAAAGTTAATGAGGATGTTTGTCGATAATGAAAAGACATGGTCATCTCCTGGACTTTTGATTTTGGCTACTTGTGCATTGGCTTTTTAAGGGTGTACTTCTATAAATGAGAAACTCTTCTGATGTCTAGGACTGGCCTGCTTCAGAATCATAGCGAGAACTAACAACATGAGGCAGAACCTTTGTCCCAGGGAGTTTATTCAATACTCTCAACACTCACTGCTGATTCTCCCTTTGAGCACAGACTATTGATTGCATTTGTCTGGCTTCTAGGGTCACATAGACTACCTCTGTTTATTTGGCTTTGTTTAAGACCTGTGGGTACAAGCAAATTTTAAACAAATAAACTGTTCTTGTGACACACATTTTGGTAGCTTTTATGGCTCACAGTAGCACTCTCACTGCTTTCCACATGCAGATGATTGGAGCAGTGTATGGTGTTTTAAAATGAAAAATCTAGAAAAGGTCTCATGGTAGATTTCTTCTGTTGATTTTGGTTTAATCTGAAGTCTTAAAAATATTTTTTTCCATTTGCATGTTAACAAATTTTTTAATGAACATGCAGGAACTTAGCCAAAATAAAAAAAGCCTCCTTGCTGTATCACTTAATGGAGCAGACCTTGAATGGTTCACCTCCAACTGCTTGCAACTGTTTTCTCCAGGTGTGGGCATGGAAAAAGCATTTTATTGTTCACTATCACTGCTGTTGCAGGGCGAAGTAATGGGAGCAGGTCGCAGGATAGAAGTAATGGAGAAAAGCAGTACAGCAGGAGTGGCAAAGCTTTCCTTCTTCTTGTTAACACAGACTGCCCTGTTTTCTGTCGTCTTTGCAGCAGTCCAGCACAGGGGACCTGAGGACTCTGAGGAAGGGGTTGTCTCCGTACCACTCTGAGTCACAGCTGTCATCACTGCCGCAGTATCAAGATGCCCTGCAAAATGTAAGAGATGTTTTCTTACCTATACACAGATCCATGGGTTTCCTCAAAAGTGGGCATGGATGGAGGGGGGCACATGAAGGGTAGCGGGGAGCTCTCCCAGCTGAGAATTCATCTTGAAACCAGTACAGCTGTGCAGCTGAAACCTGCAGCTGTGGGGAGGATGGGGAACCCTTGGAAATACTGATCTTTGCCTGAGTTTGGACCATCAGCTTCCCAGCATAGGTTTTTCAGTTAGCTAATGGTCATTGTTGTGCATCTTTTAAAGCAAGGGTGAGTCTTGCTATACTTGCAGCTCCTTTGTCAGTGCTTTGTATGCCTGCTGTCAAAAAGGTGGTCATGGATGAAGCAGAATATGGTTTGTCAAGTGTCTGGCAGTGCATGCTCGGGGTTGCTTTAGCAATAAAGTTCTTATGACTTTAATTGCAGGTTTTTCTGTATCACGAATGAGGTTTATTTTTCCTGAGATATGCCTGCATTGCTTCTTCTCGAACAACAGAATAATCTTGATTAAAGCCTCTTGCAAAAGTTGGATACTGTGCTGCTGTGCCAGGGCTCCTCCTGCACTGGTGTGCCAGGCATGGCTGAGAAGGCGGAGGCCTGCCAGACAGCTGTCTTCCAGGTGTTCTCATGACTGAGACACTGCATTTGCTTGGTGATATTGTTTTCCAGCATGCAGGGAAAGCATGGATGCGGTCAGGGAGCCCTGCTGTGAATGGGCTGCGAGGATTGTGAACGTGAGCAGCAACCTGATGGCAGCACAGACAGGGGACCTCCCTGCCACCCTGTGTCTTGTGCTCTGTGCCCAGGGCACTGGTCAGCAGAGCTGTAGGTGCTGCAGGACTAGTTTTATGTTGGCTGCCTGCTTGGGTAAAAGCCATTCTGTAGATGCAGTGTGCCTCTTAGAGCTATAAAACAGGGGCAATAACAATTTAGGAAAGCACGCATAAATAAAACTCCACTGTGAAAGTAGGCCCCTTTCTACCCCTGCTGACCTGCAGGATGGATGGAGACCCTACAGCCAAAACAAATGGACAAAACCATGCAAATGCTATGGAAGACTGTGGCTGAATATGCCATTTTCTAACTTTGTCCCCATATATAGTCAGGAGACTTTATAGGGAGGACAGAGAGAGATGAATCTCAAGGTGTTTGGCCTTGCCAGTGCTTTAGAGTTCTGGGGATTTTCCTTCACTTCCCTTGTGCTTGGCCTTCTGACCCTAGGTTGGTTCCAGGCACAGTTTTATATTCACCTTGTGGGTCAGGCTGGGATACAGCCAGCAGCTTCCTGCAGCGGAGCTGTGCCAGGGCTTGGAGCTGGCAAGGGACTTCTCTACCTGAGCACTGGCCCTCGCAGCTCACCAGGGCTGGTGGCAGATGGTGCTGCCTGCTGGAGCCCTTCCGGCCACTTGTCCCTGATTTCCCTCCTTCCTCAAGGAAGAGGTGGCAGCTGGCATTTATGGAGAGGTCCAGGTGCTGCGTGACATCCACCTTCATCTGTCACCCTGCTGTGTTCTGCCTTCTTTGTGGGAAGATGGTAGATTAAAAGAACCAGCTCTGGATCCAAATCCACATTATCTGGGATACTTACATAGCCATTTATCTACCTATTCCTACCAAAATCCCTTTGGTTTGTGGCTTTACATGATGTATTATTTTTGTGATGAAGAATAGCAATAACAAATTCATGCAGATGTCTTTGAATGCCTCAGGCATGTCCCAGAAAGTGGACACTAAGATATACCTGACTTTCTCTGCAGCCTTGTTTTTTTGACAGCAGACATGAGGTTGTGAGAAATCATTCCTCTTTGTGCCTGCACAGGCTTCACACATGTGAGTGATGGACAATTGGTGTCAGCTCCGAAGCTGTCACATCCGTTCAGGGTCTCATCATCGTCTCTGCCAGTGCAGCTTTTTGAGGAAGATCCTCAGCGCATCCCTCTCTGTCACACAGGTTGCGTGCAGGCACCACTCCAGCTCTCTTATGGCCCTGATGTATCTCAGTGAAACAATTTGTATCTAGTGGATCCTGGATCCTGGACACCAGTGCACGCTCAAGACATGTAATCAAAAGACACTTCAGTTGCTCTGTGCAGTGTTTAATGTGCGCATCATGCAGATGGAGGATTATAGATTTGCTCTGTGGGTCTGCAATGGTTAACAAATATCCAGTCCCAGGGGATTAGGGGATTAGTTCTGGCCTACAGGCCCCTGGCCATTGCAGGGGAAGGTGTGACATGCATGTTTGTTAGCTTGAACTGTGAGCAGGCTGGTCAAACTCACCAGCCCTGGGAACTGCAAACCAGAGTCATCTCGTGGTGTAGTAGAGGCTCCCTGTGCTGTTTGGAAAGGGAGGGTGATTCCCTTGGTCTTAGACCCTTAGTGAGGCATGAGAGGAGGTGACAACAAGCAGCTCCCTGTGGGACCTGTGATTTCCCTTGGATAAGAAGGGCAGGCTCCAGGGCAAACTGATTGGGCCGGCTTGTTCTTTCCTATAGTCTGCAGCCTCCAGACATGTAATGGTTACTTGGGAAGATGAATGGTGTAACTCTGAACATGTCCCTTTCCTTCTTCTTCCCCTGACTTTATATGCTGAGCATGACACCACATGGTACAGAGCATCTCTTGGGTTGGTTGGGGTTAGCTGTCCTAGCTGTATCCCCTCCCAGCTCCTTGTGTACACCGAGCCACTGGCTGGTGGGGTGGTGTGAGGAGCAGACCTTTACTCTGTGTAAGCACTGCTCAGCAATAATTAAAATATCCCTGTGTTACCAACACTGTTTCCAACACAAATCCAAAACACAGCCCCATACTAGGTACTGTGGAGTAAATGAACTCTACCCCAGCCAAAACCAGCACTCTGGGTGTCAGCAATGGAAATGGTCCCAAAGCTTCCTTGGAGGACTTATGCTTCCAGTTGCTATTTGCCAGGCTGTTGCTATTTCTTCAGTACTTTGTTTCTCCATAGTAGCCGGAACAGGTATTTTTCACCCATGTTGCATTCATGTCATACCTGCAGTGCATGTGTTTCCTTTGTGGCTGCTCCATGTGGATGTGGCAACACTTGGGGAGGAGTTACTGTGCTCGGCCCTCTGGTTTACTACAGAAAGCTGTTGGAGGAGTAACAGGTCAGATGCATGTGTGGCTGCAGTGCATAGAGAAGGTAATGCTCAGTCTGTCCTGGAGACTCTACCAGATCAGAGCTGTTCTGGAGTTTAACAGTACCAGATGGGAGTTACTGACTTCCCATTTTGTTTGTTGTCATTGTCCAAGGAGTCTGGATTACCCAGTCATATGGTCTCACCTCTGGTTAGTGAAATTACATTTCAGTAACACTGAGGTGTCTAAGGAGAATAACGCTGGGTTTAGGTAATTGCCACTGGAGGAGGAGCCCTGCTGGTGCAGTACCGTGAATTAGGACTCACAGCCGTGCCTGCCACCGTGGAGGGACTCTTCTCTGCAAACATATGTTCCTTCTTTTCACCTCTCCATGCCTCAGTATTTCCCTTGAAGGAATTGGGTGGGAAATCACTCATTCCATAGCATGTTTTTTCAGGCAGTTCTTTACTATTAAGCTAAATATCACTGAGTGCTCCAGGATCCTCCGGGGTGGACGCTAAGAGGTGGTGTTTAATTTTGGAACAGTATAGCATTGCTGGAGAGTTCACTTATTTCTCTGTGGGCTTTCTGCAGCTTCATTTTAACGATGAGTGAAGACTGGAAGGTGGAGTTATCCACGCTCAGTGTCAGCTGTCCTGCTCTCACTCTGTAAAGCCACCCTACACAGTATAACGGTTAACTTTGGTCACATGTAATGATTGCTGAGTTACTATTCTGACGTGGGGAAAATGACACTCCCCATCCACAGCACTAAGCCCTTATTTTGTTACTAATAGTCATGTTTCAGCAATTCGTTTTCTGAGATGTAAAATCTCAGCTACTGACTTCTGGAGCATGAGGTCCCTGTAGCACAGTTAAGGCATGTTCCAGAACTTGCTCCCTTTCGCCTCTTCTTGGGTGCTCTGGCTGCCTACGTAGACACACAGGTCTCTGAAGACTTCCACATTCCTGCCTGCTGCTCCAGGCATGGGAAGGTGGCCTGAGGGCAGCTCATGTTCCTGTGGTTGGAGGTACCTTCACCTTGAGAAGCGTATAAGCCAGCTGCCTGGGGAAGCAATTTATCCACATTGGCATAAAACACCATTCAGCCAGCTGTTACTACAGTTAGAGCTAGCCTGGCTGGCTTAGACTTTAAATTTACTAGCAGCCTTCATGTGACTTATAATAGGAATCCTGCCTTTTGTGGGAGTAACTGCAGAGGTTTGTAATGGAAACATTAAGATTAGCGTGGATGGAGTGTGAATGGAAAAGTATGTGAAAACACTAGGAGGAATAGTACTAGTACAAGGGATGCAGGGATGGCCTGTGCTGATGACCAAAGACACAACTGACAGCAAGCAAATGGGTAAACACAGCAGGATGTGTGGTTTGTGTCAGGACCAAGAGGTCTGTACTGTGATAAGGCCATAGCACAGATGGCTCATCACTAGAAGACCTATTCCCTGATAATGGGAGGAAGGTTACACTGTGATGTGCCATGTGCTTCCTGTCATTCCAAGAGGAAGTCTTAGATAAGGTGCCCAAAATGAGGGAGAATCAACAGGCAGCAGCTTTCTGTGGGTTTATGGTGGGTGAGTAAAGCAAGATGCTGAGATAAGGATCAGCCTGTAATAACCATTGACTCCTAAAGCATGTGAAAAATGTGTCCAAACCCCAGTTCTTTGCTATCAATGAGGAGGGATGCCAGAGCTGTCATTAGGATTTGCTGGTGTGTGTCCCTTGTCCTCTGTGTCACACACAGTAACCCTGACCACGCCACGTGGACATCTACCTTTTGGTGAATGCGTAAGCATGAGTTTGTAGGTGTGTGGGTGAGTGACACGTTAGAGGAATAAGTTTTAGGTTAAAAGAAATATCACCTTTCCCTTACTTAAGTTTTTGTA